CAAGCACATTCAACAGCTTCTGAAGGTCTGTTGTTAAATGTATTTTTCCTTCACAAACTCTCTTGGAATCCCCTCCAATTTGCCAGAAAAAAAAAAAAAAAAAACCAAACCAAAACAAACCCAGAAAGGTTTCCTAAAGTTGGTTCACTTGGGCTACATCAATACATTGCTGGCTTTCTCTGCCTGACACAACCTTTGTCAGTCTGTGGTGGTTACCACCACAGTCTATGTTAATGTACACGGGCATTATCACTTTATGCGCTGCCTTAGAAACAGGTGCTGATATGGCCAGTAAGACGTGAGGCTTATTTCCACTTCCTCTCCTTTCAGCTTCCTCTCCCCGTGCACCAAACCCGCTCAGCTCTGTTGTTTTCCAGAAACAGCCCACTTGGGGCTGGACGCCTCCCCCTTCCCCTGCCACTTGGCGTGTGGCACCTGCGCGCTCAAACCACACAGACAGGGCACCTTATGTGCAGTCTCTTAGACAGGCGTACCAGCAAATCTGAGGGTTCTTCAACAGAAGTCTTAACAAAACCATTTAAAAAGCAAATACATTGATACTTCTATAGAAGAGGCATGTCACTTGCAGAGAAAAAAGGAACATTCAGTGAATCAGCTGTGACTTGAATTTTAGCCAGGTGCCTAGTATTTCACACTTGCAGTAAAGGACTTCTCTACAGCTAAGGTAGGAAAGCTAAGCATATATATTTACATATCTCTTGTGTAAAAGGTAGCAGTAAGTATTTTAACTTTTGATATTGCTGCAGTTATGAGAAATATTACTTGAAAACACTTATGCAATAGAGAAGTTAAATTCTTTTGTTAATTCTCATGCTATTGTTTCAACATATTTCCACATGGTGTAGAGGATTAAAGACATTTCTCTTGGCCTTGCTTTCACATATTTTTAGGGATTCCGTTAAGGGCTAGCATTTTACTCCTACATAGAGGGGAAAAAGAACAGGAATCATGATTCCCCCCCTGCCCCCGACCCCAGGGACAGCAGCAGGCATATCCTTATTACAAAACCAGCCTGGGAGCAGCTCTAGAGCCTTGGTCCCTGGAGTACCAAGTGACTAAGACGGTTTTGATTTGACGTTGTCATTGCAGTCCCTTTACTTTAGATCTCAAATTATATTCGATAGCAAGTTACAGAAAAACCTTGGTGATTTCTTCTTTAAGATTCAGATTAAATATGCACAATTATGGTGGAAAACATCCTCTTCCTTTTAGGAAAAATAATAAGAGTTTTCTTGCACTTAAAATTAGGGTTTTTTTTTTCCCCCCAGACTTTAAACAGGCAGATATGTCTTTTATAGAAATTGCACTACCTAGTACAGACATTATAGCTAAGAACTTTCTTCAGAAGTAAAATTTCACATATTACCTAATAAATTCAGTTTACTGATTTTTGATTTGGAAAAAAAAAAACAAACCCTAACAGATAAGAGTGGAATTACAGCCTGTATCTACACTTTACTGCTTGCAAAGGTGTAAAATCCTTATGCTGTATTTCCCTTCAAAGTGAACTTCTAACCTTCACACTTGTGGGGTGAAAACAAGCATAGTAATAAAGGAGAGCAGCATCCTATTCTCCCCCTTGTCCAGGAAGCACCACAATCCTAAATAAGCCAATCCTTAGTCTGGAGAGCTTGAAAAAACTTTGAAAGAGAGGTGCCAATAATTTGATACTAAGTGCTTTTATAGAAATATTTTTTACTATAAAACCTATATCACAGGGTATCCTAGTAGCCATTTCTTAATTTGCTCACCAAATAGAATAAACATAATTTTCTTTCCCTGGATAAAAGCT